AGCAACTACCAAAGGGAAGTGTTTTCCTGTGGCAATATACTTTCCTTCCCATGAACATAATGTGACTCAATTTTCCTGTGATTTCAATGTGAACATTTTTTTTTAACATATAAAAAGAAAAGGTTAGAGCCCTATACATAAGTCAGTGGTGTGTTGGGCCAAATTCCACAGATAAAAACTACGCATTTTTTTTCATGGAAGGCATCAAAATTTCTCCTTGTTCGTGAAGAAGCCACCTAGGGTGGGCAAAGGACAGCCAAAGACCAGTGCAGCTCTTCAGCTTTTCTGAGATCTTGCTTCTGTGCTGAGAACTGTCCCTGTTGTGATGCAGTCTGGCAGCTCTTACATGTCCTTGCAACAAGGATGCACCATTTCTTTTTCTTTATGCAAGAAAGGAAGGAAAACTTTAAATAGTGAACTCAGGCCTTGACTTGCAAAGGAAGAAGGAAAATGCCATTTTCAAATGCCTGACTCATTTCATAAATTGCAAAGGCATTTGTAATTTTCGAAAGTAAATTCCTGAAATCCATGTTCAACGAAAGGCATCCATTTCTGAGATGGTAGAGATCTGCAAAACTTCTCAGAAGCTATATGTGCTGTGCATAGAGATTTTGACCTTTGCATATGATTTGAAGAAACTCTTGGGAGAAAAATGAGTCAGAATCAGTCCCCAAAACAACAAACTAAGAGATGTAGTTTCACCCTGAATGCACTGTTGAGAATAAGTATGCCATGTTTAGAAACCTGATAAACTTCATTCATTCAGAAATTTGTTGGAGCCAACACGGCTTCTTGCAGGACAAGTCACCATGAGAGCAATTGGCAGAATCTGCTCATTTGATCGACTCCCAGTCTGATGTCCCTACCATTATCAATTACTGTTTCATTCCTAAGTCTTGTAGCAAGAGCTGAGCTGCTTCAAGCATCAATCTGAAGCCCCGGGGAGTCCTGATGTAATGTAAATAACAGCAATAGTAATAATAATAACAAGCCACACTAATTGCCATTTAACTTCACTCTTGTTATTAGTCACTAACAAAACACTAACATTCTCCCCTAAATCTTGCATAAACAATCTAGTGTGTCTTTGAAACAAACATCCATTGATAAAAGTAGCAGATTTTATTAGCCATTTCCTATATGATAAATACCCTGATGTTATTAATGCTGTTCTAAGTAAACATCAGCTGTATTAAAATGAATACCAAGAAAAAATCATTAAACAGCAGTATATTAACATGAGTGGTAATGCAGTTCATCTATCATGGGCAGATACTTTCAAAATCATATGGAGATGAAAATAAATGTATAAAATATGCTGTATTTTTTCCTCTAATGTCAGGTCTCACATTATTGTGTCCCCCCTGAGCATTTTTGATTGTCAGAGTACTAAGTGAAGAAATTAATTTTCTTTTTCATTAGCTTTTCTACTCACACTGCAGGCTCCAAGTGTCTCTGCTCTAAGGAGTGTGCAGTTTATATAGAATTGAGAAGCAGCATTGGGAAATCACAAAAATGCATTAATGATATTTTTATTAACATTTTGTATGTTCTTATTTACGGAATTGTTGAGCCTGTTAAGCCTTTAAATGCCTAAAGTGAGAGTAGCCTTTCCTTGAGTAACGCTTATGTCTCCTGGCAGGAAACATTTTCCTAGAAATATTATTATTGCCATCATTTATATGAATTTACATCATTTACATTCTTTGTGTTACAAGAAACAGCCAAGTCTGTATAGTTCCCCTCAAATCTTCCTTGAGCATGGTTACTCTGGCAAATCCTTGTCATTCAGCAGGCTTTGCTCAGAATGCTTGTGGTTTGGCTTTGCTATTTTTAAAAATGTCATCATACTTACAGCTTGTGGCTGGGTCAGCGTACCTCAGCCCTGGATATTTTTCCCTGGGAAGATATGAGCAGCCTTCCGCCACGACAGAGAGAAATGCCCGGGTGTCCTGGGAGGGAACTTTCTGGCATCTCCTGCACAGAGTGGGGAAAAAAACAGACACTGAAAAGACCAAAATTCAACTCCATTCAGCAACACCAAGAAGTGTTATCTGAAGGAGGAAGCTCACCTTCATATGTCTTGCACAACAGGTTAATTATGGCAATAACCACGCTTGTCCTCTGTACCCTTCCATCTTCCTTGTATAAACGGAACATCTGTTTGTTCTGTGACTACAGTGTAGTGAAACTGCAGCTCGATGGAGCTGACCGGATGTTTGCGTTCTGTTACACATGGATAAATATTGATCCTAAAAATCACAACTGCAATAAAAATAAACAGTACAACCCTGTTGTTAATGAGCAATTGAAGATCGGTTGCATTTATACTATTCAGATATAATCTGCTTCTCTGGACTCACTTTTTCTGCAATTGCTGTAATCTTGGCTTTTGGTTTTACTTCGTTTCCTATGAAACACAGTAAGAAATTGTGCAGCGTCCTGCAAAGAAAATGCATTTAAAGTATAATAATTTGCATTTAAATACAGTGACAGTTCTGCCTTTCCTTGTGCTAGTCCTGCTGTGCCATTCACACTTGTTAATTTAATAGCTAGGATCTTCCATCAAGGTGAATTACAAAGAAGATATTGCAAGCAAGGACCAGCAAGAGGCCTTAAATTGCACCTCCTTCAGCATAAAGTCCTGTGGGGTACATTCACTTCCTTCAATTGGCCTCAGTGCTTCAGCTGCAGTGGAAGATGTAGGGGCTGAAGAAAGATGAGCAGTCATATGAGCTGTGCAAACCTTCCCCTTAGGAGCATGGCAGGGTGGCAGACTCATGACATGCAGCTTATGCAGACATAGAAGGAATATGTGGCTTTCATAGAATCATAGAATCATTGAATCACAAGGCTGGAAACACCCTGCAAGACCATCTAGTCCAACCGTCCTCCCATTACCACTGCTACCACAAGCACTAAACCAGATCTCGCAGCTCCTCATCCAGACACCTCTTGAACACTGCCAGGGACGGCGACTCCACCACCTCCCTGGGCAGCCATTCCAGTGCCTGACCACTCTCTGAGAGAAAAAGCTCTTCCTTATGTCTAAGCTAAACCTCCTCTGGTACAACTGGCGGCCCTTTCAACATACTCCATGCTGCTTATCAGCTGAATTGCGCTGAAATGGCACTGATCTTCCAATGCATTCTCCATGACTTCTCATTGGCCAATGATTCTCAACGTCTTCTAGGACTTTATTCATTTATTTTTATGAATTCAAATTCACGATTTCTGCCTGGCTGTAGGAAATGTTAGGGTTTACATCTTCACCCTAGCATGTATCAGATCTGCAGTTAAGTAAGATCTGCATAGAAGTATGTGCAAAAAAAAAAAAAATCCCAAGTACTAGTGTGAATTGGTTAAACTGAAGGTGATTTGTGCCCTTTTGAAAGCTGAACATAACTGATTCTCTTTTTTTGATATTATGCAAGCAAATATTAATAAATTAGCCCATGACGGGAAAGAATTATTTTTCTCTTCATTGTAAATTTCTGTTTTATATGAAAATGTACTGAAAATAAGAGGGCTCCTTTGAAAGTAATGTTCCATTTTATCAGGTTGGCCCATGATAGCAGAGGTGGAGGTTGGTGGTATAGCAGTACAGGTGGAACCTTTCCACTACTATTCTGTTCCATGTTGTTGTATGACAGATAGTAGCAGGGGGCAGCCTGACAGAATGGTGTCTGACATGGAAGTGCAGATGAAGCAAAGGTGGAGAATCAAATTCCTCCATGTGGAAAAAATGGAACCCATTGATGTTCACTGATGAGTGTTGAATGTTTGTGGAGACCAAACAGTGGATGTGAGCACTGTGGGGCAGTGGGTGGTGCATTTCACCAGCAGTCACAGCGATGTGTAAGAAAAGCCATGATCTGGACAGCCATGCAGATTTTTACCAGCGCAGCATGCAGATTCTTCTTCATCGCTGGTGAAAATGCACAGCTAATGGTGGTGACTATGCTGAAAAATGGTATTTTGTAGCTGAGAATTTCTCCATTAACTAGTGTTCTTGTGCTCTCTATATCTATGTTAGTTTCTGTGGAAATAAATAGGAGGCATTACTTTCGGAGTGTCCTACTTACTTAGTAATACTTGCTGCTTTTTTAATGCAAGTGAGTACATTTTTTAAACAAGAGAGTGTTTCTGTTCCTAAACGGAAAAAAAAAAAAAAAAAAAAAAAAAGAAAAAACGAATTATTAAGAATATGAAGCTGTTTGAAAAAAAAAACATGAGGTTTTACACCTACAGATTTCTGTGGTTGATCTATAAAAAAGAATAAAAAGGTTCACGCTTCACACTTTTTGTCTCCTTCTTTGTGTGCATGGGCCCCAGCTGACTGAAGCTGAGATAAGCTCTTATTACGTGTGTCACTTCCATTACGTTTCTGGTGTATGTATAATATCAGAATCTACAGAAACGTATTGGTCTGAATTCCAGGTAATCGCTATTTTCTCATCACTACATCTGTCTCATGGTATCTACTCTTTACCTGTGGGAGGAGCTTCTCTGAGTCTAGTCAAAAACCAGTCTCTTCCTTCAGCATGTACATACATCTCAACTTTTGCATCGTTCACATAACCACATGTTTGGGAATTCATCCCAATCACTTTCTTTATTGTAGATAAGGCATACATCAACTTATCTGTTCGGGTGGCTTTGAATGAGTCATAAATTTTTGCAGCAGAAAACCTATCTTTTCAACTTACATGGTCCAGCAATAATCCATGAACTAAAATTTATTTTAAGGCTAGCTTCTACTGATTGAAGATACTATTTGGCTATATATCACACTGAACACCATTTTTTTTATATTACTGAGGTGTTATAGTCATATACATGAAAGTAAGATATTTAATAAAGAAGTTGATTCTTTATTTTTCAGAGAAATGTTCCCTTGACCTGCACTTGTCCTTGGGTTTCTTTTAGTTTATTCTCCAGGCTGTGCAATATCCCAGTACTTCAATCTAACTGTGACTTCATAGTGACATCAAGAGCAGGCTTCACAGATCATAACGACCTCCATTCCTGTAGGACATCTTGCTATTTGGGGGTTAGACTTGGACTTAGGCCACATTTAATAGCCCCTCCTGAATAACTCTCCCCTTAAACAAGGTCAGCCTAAGCCTGCTGTGGGTACATCCTGATTGGACTGGGGAAGACACGAACTCCTGCAGTGGTAAGTGGCTCTTTACCTCAAATCTACTTCCATCTCAGCTTAGCATTAACTATTTTTATAAATTCAGAGATAACTGAATTTATATATAACTGCATACCTGAGTTATGGTTTCCTTCATCTGTTCAATAGCCATCTAAATGTGGAGTCAGCAGTGCTGGTGATCATTGTCACACAAGCAAACAAAAAAAATAATAACAAAACAAGTGAAAAAAAATAGAAATGTGTTGAACAGTTAAAGTTACATTATACAAGAAAAGCATCATTAGCTTCTGTTAATGAAAACACGTAATGTATACCAGTTCTCAACGTTACATCTGAAATTCATAGTAGTATCAACAGAAGGGAGTTTACATGATGGTCTTTATGACTGTCTTGAATTTTAAATGAAGACATCAGGTACACTGAGCTGCATTGCCCAGGGACAAGTAAAAGGTGATTTCTGACTTTACAGGGGAAGTTTTTAGACACAAACGCTGTTCCAGTCCAATATAGAATGTATTGCTGTCAGCAGGAGCATGACCAGTGCAGTGAATCTAGATTTACTTTCCACCACGTTAATTAACTTATAAGACAGAAAAATTTACTTCTCCAATACACAGTAGTGTGTTGGGCTGCATGAGAGCATGCTGATCCATATGCCAATCTGTCTTTCAGTCCCTGTGTCCCAGTGCTAGACAAAGTGAAATAATGAAATCCTTTTTTCAATACATGCTATCATTAGCATACAGAGGGTAGTTTTTAACTGCTTGGCAGCCAGTTACATACCAAATATTGTGTGACACTGTTATGTAGCAGCCTTTTCATGAGTGGAGGTTTGGTGCTGTGAAAGGACTGAGACTTGCCTGTAGCGTGTGCTCAGCTGAGTATCCTTCCCTAGATACTGTCTGATGGGGCTGTAAAGGAAGTCTGAAGCATAAGATCCAGAAGCAAACCCAGAATCATCTTGCTTTCCTGCACTTGGCAGTGAGCCCTTCTCCAATACGATTTGATGTCAGCTCCTTGGATTTGCGTGTGTGGAGCTAATTCTGGAGAGCTCACCTCACCTTCCCTTAGATCCTAGGGCTTTCTTACATGGGGAAGCGATTCATCAATTCTGTGGCTAGCTCATCAGGGAGCAACCTGACATAAGAATTGTGGACAAGGGGATAAAGCAGTCCAGGTGCGAATCCAGGAATGATTCATCTTGACAATGTAGATGTATGGAGAGATGTTGGGTGACAAAGTTTATTGGTTACACTTAAAGCAGTTTGGGCTTGGTTGTAACGTAGCGGGGACCCAAAGCTAACAGGCTGAATGAAGCTGTGAGACTGCTGAGAAAATTTGCAGAGAGGAGCTCTGGAAAGTAAGCATATGTTGTCTCACATCAGTAACCCCAGCACCACTTCCTCCTTGCTTGCCACAAGTAAACTAAGATGAGCGTGGGATCTGCTTTTCATTGCAGTGTGCTTTTCTTTCTGGCTCGTATTTCCTATCCACACCACACAAAGGTACAATGCAAAGACCCCACCGCAGCACACACCTCCATACGTGCACAGATGAGGCGGAAGGGGTTTGTTTCACACGAGAGAGTTAGAACTGACCTTGCAGCATCACCTGAAACCACTGTGAGGTTAATAAAGGAGGCAGATACTGTTCCTCTTTTGACATCCTGTGTGTGCGTCATACTCCCCAGCACCAGCAGCAGCAGTCTGTGGCTGCAAAGCTCACCTACATTCAATCCTTGCCCCCTCACATCTGATAGGTACACAGACCTGTAAGCCAAAAAAACCCTGTACATGGACCTTTACATCACAGAATCTCTTAATAATACTATCCTGTAATATGTGTAGGAACAAAGAAACATAATATCCCCTGTGAAAAAATCTTACACATGAAATAGTCTAAAATAGGAAGAAAAGGAGTATCTGCATCACAGCTGGGAAGTCTAAGAGACAATGACATTTACCCAATGCCATGTAGGAAATCTATGGTAAGACCTAAAAATGAGCTCATACTATTTCCACCACTGGTCTAAATTACTTCATGACCTCTCTTTAATAGCATGCAAGAATAATTCCATCTTCTTCACTGTAGTTCAAATCAGTAAAAACAATGAAGATTTTATTGCAAAAGATGCTCAAACTGTAGCCAGGATTCTAATAATAGCCATCTTTCCACTTAACCAAAAATTGATAGCAAGAATGAATAGAAAAAGTAAATATTTGATGAAGCCAAAGGCCTATAGATTCTGTAGCATGGATGTGCCATGCTTTGCATGCTGATGCTATTGCTGTGCAATTTGTAACAATATTATCCAGCTGGATATGCCTAAGGTCCAGATTTTGAACTGTGAACACAGCCTTAGCCATTTTTAGTGCCTGCAAATCTTATTCATGCATATTCACAAACATGCAAGGAAGTGCAAAAATGTGACTTGTGTGTCTTTAGACAAAAGCATTCAATTGGACTGTTGCTTATCATTAAAAACCCCAAATCACCAGCCATTTCCATTAAAAAAAAACCTCAACCAAACAACTAATCAACCAAAACCCCAACAGCATGGCAACTAGATTCTCTAAACTCTTGAAACTGTTAGGAGTAATGTATAATACACAGTGTCTCTTGACATCCCACATTACTCTCTCTTTCTAAAGATTATCTACTACACAATCTTCAACACTTTGTTTTTGTTTTTTTTTTCTATCTGCAGCCTCTGCCCCATGAATGCTTTGTGGAAATTTGCTCATCTTGCAGTAAAGAATTGCACAAGTTGATAAAAGCTAAAAATAACAGCAGACAGCTGTCCATCGCGTTGGCTTTAGGATGAGTCATGGAAAAGCCAAAGAGTATTGTCAGCATAGAAGTTATATGGCTTTTACTTCATTTGGATATGCTCTGAAATGTGTGAAATAGTCTCATGAAAGCATTCATTGAGTGTATTGATATTGCTGTGAATCTTTCAAACAGTTTGGGGTCACAGGCTTCCTTTTGGGAATTAGTTGTGCTTTAACTTGCAGGAACAGAAAAGGAAATAAAGAAAAAAAAAAAAATCAAACTCTTGAATTCAGCACATCCCATACTGAGGCATTTTGAGAATAAGGGTGAAACTGTAAATATACTAAGTTTCTAGAATGACATTTTGTTCTTGTACATTTTTTGTAAATGAAAAAGGACAAGTAGTCAGGATAAAACTATAGTAATGTGGAAACAAAACTGCTCAGAAAACTATTTTCAGAAAACAATTATTTGTGGTTCATTTCCAAATTGAAAGCTGTGCTAAGTGTGATTCTGCAAGCAGTTGTTCTCAGTCTTGTACTTTTGGTGTGTACATTCTGCAGTCAAATATAGTTTCTATATCCCCAATCACAGTTGCTTGACAAGGGTACAGATATGTTGGAAAATATGAATAAAATTCAAAAGGCTCTTGCTGAAGTATGTAAGGTGCTATTTCAAGGGAATAGTGCTGAGTTTGCATTCTGGAGCCGTACCTCAGGAACAGAGTATGCCAAACATACAGAACTATGAACAAAGACTGTTTACATCAAGAAAGGCTGTGCAACTCATTGTTGGTTCATTTAGGGCAAATTGCAGTCTAGAGAGACAAATGCTGATTTTTTTGAGGGGGAACTCTGTAGTAGAAAATGTAAGGGGAAGTCAAAAGGGAAGAAATGAAAGACCTGAGAACAAATCTAAGCCATTATTCCACAGATTCTACCAAAATAGAAAAACCAGGAAAGCCCCATCTCAGACACTGCAAAGTCAACTTTTCACTAAATACATATGTAAACAGTATGCTGACCATAGCACACTGCAATCTAGGACAAGCCTCTATCATGCTGAAGCAGTGGTTTCCTAAAGAGCTGATCTGAGTTATTGGTTTTTCACAACGGAAAAGAAGAAACAATGTGGTGGCCCTTCATTTCTGGCATCCAGCTGTACGGTCTTACCTCTATACTCTCTATGATGTTCAATGCCATCACAGTGGACTTAACCAGCAGAAAGCTGCTGGGATATTTTGAAGCTAAATAGTTAATTACAGGCTGATGATGTTGGTTTGGTGAGTGCCAAATCAATAAGTGGAAAAGAATTCTAGAGAGTCTTTGCTTCCATATAGAGAATATCTCATTCCAGCTTGCAAGGCAACCAGAGGAAAAATGCAAAAAAGAGAGGGAAACTGCTACGAAAGTTAACGCTGTTAAAAAATAATTAACGCAAGGGGAAAGAAGGAAAAAGAAGATGGGGAATAAGTTGGACAGGAAGATGGAAATATTCTCTTAATTAGAGGTTCTTTGTTGCGCTCCCTTAACTGCGTGGTCATGGCTTGGCAACCATTCAGACTTCAGGAGGCATTGTGCAAGCCTCTGATAGGAGGGGTTTCCTTTGATGAGCTGGCCATTGTGGCTTTACAAGAAATTTTACAGTACTTCCTCTCACCCATTACAAACCACAGTTTTCTGAATGAATTTTCTCCTCTTTTGTTTTTAACAGTTTAACCCTTAACCTTTCTGACTCATGTTTTCTATTCTAGTGCAACATGTAACTCAAGGTGAAAACAGGGACAGCCTACGCAAGGCTACACGCTGTGTGGAGCAGTGTTTTTGCTGAAGAGCAGTTTGCAGGTTTGGTAGTGTGGTATGAGCAAAAAAAGCCTCCAGATTCACTTGCAAGTCAAATGAAGAAAATCAGGCAACTACTGAACCTGTTGGTGATTCATCTGTACTCTCCAGTTTGTGCTGATTGCTAAAATATAGATGTGTAGTGTGGGCAACAGGCGCAAAATGATAAAATTAGGGAAATGACTCTTTCACAAATAGTGCAATGAACTTGTTTAGAGGTGGAAAGAGGATCAAGTAGTTAATAGAAAAGCCAGATAGACAGAGCTATATATATATATATATGACGTACAAATAAATGTATCACATAAGAGTATCTGGTTTGCTTGGTGAGAAACTCTTGCTGCCCAGTACGAATACACAGTTTTACAAAATAAACGTGGCATAAAATGACCTAACTAGGGATGGAAAGGGGAAGTTTAAAGTGGAGTCCCTTTCAGGGTCACTGTAGATAAATCTGAAATTAGACTGTTAAGTAAAGAATCAAGACCATGGTATCTTGGCAAGAGTTATGAAAGGATAGGGTTGTGAAAGGCCTTTGAGTCTTTATTTATGCAATCATCATAAAAGTCACAGTATGTGAAGAATGCTGGCTTTTCCCTTCCTTCAAACCTATGTCCAAATAGGAACTAAATGGAGATAGTGTTACCTCCAATGTAACCATGATTTTGGACAGTGCCAAGAGTCCTGAGCAACCCCTGAAGGGATGGCACCTTCCCAAGACTCTCAAAGGAAGTGTTACGACCCAGCAAGCTCCCCTGGAGAGTACACTTAAGACAATCATGTTCCAAGGAGTTTACTGCTAAAATCAATATGTGGCAGAAAAGCCAAGGAGATGTGTACTTCCCTAAATCAGGGGATGAAATCAGTGCTGTTTCTCCAAAAATGGAAAAGACAAGGCTCAAAAAGTCTGTGACTTCTCTTACTTCTGTCCTGAAAGGTTGACACAGCTCTGTGATGACCTAGGCTCTTGGGACAAAGAAGTGTTTGGTAAAAAGAGAGAAGCATTTATAAAAAATATTATGGTAAACTCAAGACTTTGAAATGAAATGATTGATGAATGTAGCCCGGGAGGCTGGTGGATGGAGCTGGCCAGCAGCAGGCTGTTCTTTCTGCTGAAACACGTCCTGCTGCTCTGAGAACAAGATTACAGCTTTGAGTCTCTCTATTTAAAATGTCACACAGTATGGAAAGACAGCATAAAATCTCACCTACAAAACTTTCATCTGAACTGACTTGCCTGTCATCTGTGTGTGATGACTCATTCAGTGCTTGCAAAGTGCACACTTTGGGATGTTGCAGTTGTGAGGCTCATAAAAATTACTGCTAAATTTCATAGTTATAGGACTGGAATAGGACTGGATGTTTGCAGTAACTTCACTGTCATGGGAAGGAAGGTGAGGAAAGAGGCATATTTTAATAAATGGTTAAGAACACACCAACATCCGTCAAAAAAAAAAAAAATCAAAAATCTCAACACATTTTGATTTCCTGTCTTACAATCTTTTTAGGTTCTGTTTATGTTACAATTTTTGGCTTTTGTTCTGTTTCTGTTCCCTATATGAGGGAACTTTGTTCATTTGTGAACAAAGCACAGTGATGCTGCACATTTCTACTGTCATAATAAAAAAAAAAAAAATGTTTATCCTCTTCTGCACTGGAGAACGTGGTCCATAAAGTGGAGACACATATTAGCACATGAAATCCTTCATCTACTACTGCAGTTTTAAATTTGAACAGTCCTGTGAGCACTTTAGATGCTGAAATGTAGATTTTTTATTTATTTATTTTTTTTTTTAAGAAAAGGAAAGAGAAATCCTGAGAAAGAAGGCATCTTTTCATCCAGTTTACCGTTTCACTTGTGTATCTGAATCATAGCTTGTTAGTAACTAACAAACAAGGCTACTGCTAAATTGTCCGCACAGTTTTTTTCATCTAGGACTCTTGAAGCTCTTCACCTATCAGCCTTCAGCTGGCAAGTAAAGTATTGATGGTCATGTTGTGCTCTGCCACTATTTTGATGTTTCTGTAAAATCTGTTGGACATAGTATTGCTGGTGAATAGAAGGGAAGGGACAGCACAGGACAAGAAATCAGTATTATTTAATTGCCATTGTAATCTGTGATGTGGTCTGAAAATGTGCCAAACAGCACTATCTTAGGCGATGCTGGAAGGATAGTTTCTGCTCCAAATTTTCCAACAAGTGGCACAGACTTGACTGGCGTGTGTTTGGCCCCCTGTGTCCCGGAGGAATTAACAGTTGACTTTGCACCTGTAAATCCTCAAGTTGCACCGAAGACAAAAAAAACACATTATTAGTTTCATCTTATGAAAATATGACATTAGTTTATGTGTGAGCTGAAAAAAATCCTCTGTAAATAAAGTTTACTCTTAGGACCACACAGGTTGAAGTAGTGCATAATACAGCTTGGTCACTCTGTGTTACTTGGCCCCACAGTGGCCAAGGTTTTGTTTTGTTTTGTTTTTTTCTTTAAAAAAAAAAAAAATAGAGAAATGCAGGGCAATACTTTGGCCTCGCTGTTACCATTTTGCATGATTCCATTGGTGCAAACGAGTGCAAAAACCCATGTAAGTATGGCTGAATATTTCTTCCTTGTGAGAGAATCCTCTCTTGGCTTAGAAGACTATAATAGCAGAGCACTGGAACAGGTTGTCCAGAGAGACGGTGGATGCCCTGTCCTTGGAGACATTCAAGGTCAGGCTGGACAGGACTCTGAGCAGCTGATCTAGCTGTAGGTGTCCCTGTTCACTGCAGATGAGTTGGATTAAACGGCCTTCAAGGGCCCTTCCAACTCAAATGATTCTATGATTCTATAGTCATCCTGTTATGCTAGAAGGAAAAACATTTCACCATGTAATGTTTCCCCACTGGCCTTACCGTGGTTGCTCCTGCCTTGTAGGACTTAATATGAGACAAAGCTCAATCTTTGTGATTTGAATCAAAGTGAAAATGAAGGGACCTAAATGGAATGCATTGCCTGGATACTCCCAGTGGACAAGACAGAAAATGCAGATTTTGCTTTTCATTCAAGTTGCTGCACAGTAATCAAGCAGACTCTACTCAGACTCAAGATGTAGAACTTCTTGTAAAACCAAAAAGATTCAAAAGCAGACATTGGCTACAAACCCTTTGTCTCTTGCAGTCAACAAGAAGTTAACATTTTGTTTCTGTAAATCAGTTGAGTCCCTGAAAGAGAGTGAGCTACCGTAATTTGCATACAGCTGGCAAATACTCATCTGTAGCATCATGGTGTGCATTCTAGCAATGCCTGGTTTAACAGAAGTTTCTGAC